ATGATATAACTCCAAAGAAGATGCACAACACAAAAATGTTAAAATAACTCTATATAAGACAGAAAAAAAAATTAAAATAACTCCATACAAGACACAACACACAGATGATACAATAGCTCCATACAAGACAACAACATGAAAAGGATGACAGAATAACTTCATACAACACACAACATAAAAGTGATAAAATAACTGTTACAACATAAAAATTATCACAGAATAACTCCATACAAGACACAGAACATAAAAATGATAAATAACTCCAGAGAAGATCCAACATAAAAATGATAAAATAGCTCCATACAAGAAACAACACAACAATGATGATACGCAGAAAGAAACAAACATAGACACAAGAATAAGCAGGAAAAAAAAAAGAAAAAAGAAATATAATAAAATAAAGGAACAGGTTTCAAACAGTACAAACATGAGAAGTGAATAAAATAAACCCAACAAAATATGAGAACTGGACTAGTATAATTACCGTGAATGCATGACATGAAAAAGAAAATAATATAAGAATAAAAAAACTTATGAAAAGCATCAATAATATACCAATTTATTTGCAAGATTTAACAATACAAATCAAAGAGGATATACATCTGTGGTGGTGCAGTGTTTAGGTTTGAATCCCTGGGGAAAGTTCATTGCTTTGGGACTGAGCTTACTGACAGAAGCCACCAACAGTTTCTATAATAGGGCCCTTCTCCATGCCTTCAGGTGTACTGGACATGTAGAGTTAGACCTAAATTTATATAGCAATCGGCACTCGGTGGGTGATGTGGTCAACAGCAAGCCGGCCGCCTTTCCTTCCCAGGACTGTACCCACTCAAGGCTGGGTCGACCTGGGAGTCAAGGTCATTTTTTAAGAAAAAAAATTGTGTCTCCGTCAGGACCTAAATCCACAATCGGCAGGCGAGTATCTAACCGCTGCACCGCGGTAGCTCTCTAACAGTTACCATAGCTACTCATACTTTTGAGGAAATGAGAGCACGTTTGATTTGAGTTGATTCAAAAACCGACATCACAGCACTCGGGGCATTCCCATAAGCGCTCTGTCCCCATCTTCAGCAGCCAGCGCAGAGTTCCGATACTAATGGTGCCAGTATCATTCTGATTAAATGCCCGTCTTGCCTTTCCTCTGAGCCTCGAGCATCTGCCAGAACCCCTCGTCACTCCCCACTACATCAATCTCACAAGCACATGTTTAAGTATAACAAGGCTCTCCTCGTGTGGGTTCTAGGGCCCACTGTGTGTGTGTGTGTGGGCATATGTGGAAAGGGGGGGGGGGGGGGATACACCAACTTCTCCTTAACAAGCATGTCATATGGAAAAGATAAAAAGTTCTTGGCTTCAGTTCATCGTTACCATAATTCTGTTCTTTTTCCATGAAAGCTTTGATGGCATATTAGGCTAGAATAATGTTGCCAATTTTCCTTGAAGTTTATGGTTCAAGTTATTTTAAGCTTTACAACAATCAGTCAGATGTGCGAATGAACCAATGACAAGACCAATGCGTTTGTACATGCATGAAACAGATCATCTTGATTCATTATTTTTTTTTTAAACAAACTTGAGAAAGACTTTGATTTGTTTGATTTGACATATTTTTCTTTAATAACCAGTGGACCTCGGTATGAAAAAGTAGAATATTATGTGTGGCTCGAAGGTCAACATAAAGAGTCTGAAATAGGCTTGTGTTCAATGAGCCTGATTTAACAAATGAACCACTTTTCATTTCTTTTTATCATTCAGATTCTGGTTTTGGCTGCCAGGCCCTGAATGGGAATTACACAAAGAATATCTGGATTTTTTCTTTTTTCTTTAGCCAATTAAAGAAACCCAAAACAAGTACCTATCAGAGCCGGAGCACCATTGTATTTTAAAAAAAAACTTTTCCCTACGATCCTCTGTTTTTGGAGTGGAACAATTATCAATGATTTTAAGAAAAAAAAACCACATATCATAGGCTTTTGATGTTGTTTCTAAACATCCAGAGAAATACATGTGTATTTTTATATTATCTTTATCCCCAAATCGACAATATACTATTCATTAGCAACAACACTAAGTCAATTCCGAGGTTTCATCACATTGGACTAAAAATACAGGGTGACATTTTGACCCTCTCAATAACCTGTACAAGGTGACATTTTGACCCTCTCAATAACCTGTACAAGGTGAAATTTTGACCCTCTCAATAACCTGTACAGGGTGACATTTTGACCCTCTCAATAATCTGTACAAGGTGACATTTTGACCCTCTCAATAACCTGTACAAGGTGACATTTTGACCCTCTCAATAACCTGTACAAGGTGACATTTTGACCCTCTCAATAACCTGTACAAGGTGACATTTTGACCCTCTCAATAACCTGTACAGGGTGACATTTTGACCCTCTCAATAACATGTACAAGGTGATATTTTGACCCTCTCAATAACCTGTACAAGGTGACATTTTGACCCTCTCAATAACCTGTACAAGGTGACATTTTGACCCTCTCAATAACCTGTACAAGGTGACATTTTGATCCTCTCAATAACCTGTATAAGGTGACATTTTGACCCTCTCAATAACCTGTACAAGGTGACATTTTGACCCTCTCAATAACCTGTACAGGGTGACATTTTGACCCTCTCAATAACATGTACAAGGTGACATTTTGACCCTCTCAATAACCTGTACAAGGTGACATTTTGACCCTCTCAATAACCTGTACAAGGTGACATTTTGACCCTCTCAATAACCTGTACAAGGTGACATTTTGATCCTCTCAATAACCTGTATAAGGTGACATTTTGACCCTCTCAATAACCTGTACAAGGTGACATTTTGACCCTCTCAATAACCTGTTTTCCTATGTCTTCTGTAAAGTCATCTTGTCTACATTTTACAATGTTGCCAGAAAAAAAGACATTTTTTGAACATTTTTTTTTTTTCATGACTTGCATTAGGCAAAACAATATTTACAGTCTTGTTCTTCTTTTTTGTTGTTTCACTGGTACCGGGTTGTAGCCATGTGTTGTGGTTTTCTGTATTTGTCTTGAGCCTCTCCGCCGGTTTAGGTGATGGATTTGCTCATCTTTTTGCAGGTTTCAGCTACATGATTTATCCATCTCTTTCTTGGTCTTCCTCTAGCCTTCCTCCCAGATGTTCTCCTGTAAAAAGCCTCATATGCTAACCACCATAAAGTCAAAGTTAATATAGTCCTCTTTATACAATCCTTCATTTGGCACAGACATTATTATAAAATCTGTATCACTAAAACAGAAGCAGACTCAGGAGTTCAACGCCTTTTTTTTTTTTAAATAATAACGAAAATTATTATGGCAAATCAACTAAATGTTTACTTTTAAAATGTTTGTGTGCTATCAGTCACAAGGTACAGAGATATGTTTTAGCAAGAAAATGTTCTTAATCTATAATTAAATTCAGGTGTTATCCTATTAATTTGATTTGAAACATGCACAAAACTGTTCAATTTGCTCCAAAAGTGTTTTTTTTTATTTATTTTTTTTTAAATTTAATTAATCATTTGCAAAATAATTTAATTTTGATTAAATTGGTGGAAAAAAATGATAGTATAACAAATTATTACAAGTACAAATATGCTACATTTAAAATTGCTCACACACATCACCCTTTCAAACCTCCTTGTGGGGGACGCCACCCCCATACTTCCTGATCTCTCCAAACTATAAGGCAGCTTTAAATGAAAACCATAAAAATGTGACAGAAATTAAAATAACCATGCAACTGTCTTGTAACCTGTCAATATTGTTGTTAAGGATGTCAGGAGTGTTAAGCACATGACACCACAGTGCAGATGAACACTGTAAAGAGAGGCAAAGGGGGAACCAAAAGTCTGCATCCAAATGAAGCAGATCTGTAAAATGGATGTGTACACTTAACATTCAAGTTCCAGACCAGGACTAGAGTCCAGAAGTGGACAAACAACCAGAGTTGGAGAGTTGGTGAACACATAAAGGAAGAACTCTGGGGTCACTACTCTGCATGTCTGAACCTGGTCATGAACAATCTGTCACAGAAGTCTCACCTTTAGCAATGATATCACAACTGTTTATATTTACAACAGGCATCTCTCCAGGGATTGTCGAGGAGGGGGTTGTCAAGATTCGCCTCTACCACTGTTTCTATTTTGTTGTTGTGACACGATCAGATTCCAAACTCTTCCAAGATGGCCAGATGTGTTTTCTATCATGTCTCGAACACGTCTGATTGTGTAATATATTCTGCTGTTACGCTTGTCAAACAAGCGTTTGATTTTTACAGATTCCTCTGACCTGTTTACAACCCAGTCTTTGTGTACCAGGAATGGACATTCCCTGTTAAAAGGATATTATTCTGACTATGTACATCAAGAGTCAGCCAAGACTTGCCAGCCGTGCATACGTGGTCTTCATATTCTATGAGTTAAGATTACATATTTTATGAACGAACGAAGGTCCCCTGACTCCTCTACAATCCCATTCATCTGGGAGTATGACGCTGATGACTGAGAGTCCAGACACAACAAATCGTATGACTAAAGGATCCATTACTTCTCTACAATCCCATTAATCTGGGAAAATAATGTCCAGACATTATATTTTTTATGAATGATGGTCCCCTGAATTCTCTACAATCCCAGTCATCTGGGAGTGTGATGACAACTCTGAGTGCAGACATAGGTTTTATGACTGAAGGTCCCCTGACTTCTCTACTACCCCAGTTATCTGGGAGAATGGTGATAGTTCAGAGTCAAGACATTTTATGTTTTATGAATTATGGTCCCCTGACTTCTCTACAATCCAAGTCATCTGGGAGGATGATGACAACTCTGAGTACAGACATACATTTTATGACTGAAGGTCCCCTGACTTCTATACAATCCCAGTTTTCTGGGAGAATGATGACAGCTCAGAGTCAAGACATTATATGTTTTACGAATGATGGTCCCCTGACTTCTCTACAATCCCATTCATCTGGGAGTATGACACTGATGACTCAGAGTCCAGAGAGTCGATTGAGGTGACGCTGCTGGAGACCTGCAGGGGTCGTTGCTGGAGGCGGAGATTCCAATTGAGACAGACGGCCAGGCCATCGAACCAGTCTTCTATCTGGTCGGCAGCACAGATGGAAGGCACAGGGTAGGATGCTGTGGTGATTCTCAAACTGTGAACAAGAAAGAAGTGTATTCAGAAAAACTCTCCAACAAGTTAAAGTCGCCTCCCCTGACATGGGGGAACTGCAGCAGCACCAGGGCTTGCACGTTTGCATGCCAACATGGCTGTCATCTTCTTTTTTCTGATTAGACTGGCAGGTTCTGCACCTGTTTGTTTGATGCATAACAAGCTGGATTTTGTAAGGGCCCTTTTCAAACAGAATGTTATGGAAACTGGACTCTGCACTTGTTGCTGAAGATGGTGACAGTGTGCTTATGGGAATGTCGTGTTTGCTATGATGTCGGTTCTCAACTTGTAATTCATTCTTCTATTTCTTGTGATTGCTTCAATGATTTACAACAGATGAGATAAAATTGACTATTGTAAGGTTTTTTTTTTTTAGTTCAATACAACTTTGAGTATGGTGTTGATTCACTGGATCAACCATCCCTGTCTAATGGGCTGAACAAGGGACAGTCTTGCATGACATGTTCTGTGGTGCGTGCGGTAAACAACTGAGATGAAGCTTGTGCTTATGCTCGTTAAGTTTTTTTTATGCCCTGTCTTGAAGTGTGGAATAATTAGCTGTCATGCCGGTCAAGTAAGTGGTAGTCATATGGTGGTCATTGATCCGAATGTCCATTGTGGTTCATATTGACCCAGCCTAGAAACGATCACTAGGAAATATTATGACAGGTATAGCTTCTAAATGTGATACTAGGAAATATAATGACAGGTATAGCTTCTGGATGTGATACTGACCTTACCAACCATCAACAGAAGAAAACTATGTGGCTAACAAACAAAACATTCACTAAAACTGATCCTAATATGGGGACTAGACAATTCAAACAACCTTTAAATCTGAGGACATATCAACCATCCAATGTGGCTAACAAACAAAACATTCACTAAAACTGATTCCAAAATGAGCACTAGACAATTCCAACAACCTTTAAATCTGAAGACATATCAACCATCCAATGTAGCTAACAAACAAAACGTTCAACAGAATTCTGGTTATTCGTCCACTTCTGGACTTTGGCCTTGTTCCGGATCTTGTGTTTTGCATGCATATCCATTTCACAGATCAGGCTTTTGTGTATGCAGACTGTTGGTTCCTCACCACTCAGACTCTGTAGGAATCACCCCTAACTAGTCGTCTTTTATGACATACTGGCTAGAGTGGCTTGGATCTATACTCCCCCCCCTCCTCCTCCCCAAAATGGGTCGCCTGACAACACACAGAGAAGATAGAAGCAACAAACAATACTTGAGAGAGAGAGAGAGAGAGAGAGAAGAGAGAGAGAAAGAGACATACACACTCACACACATGCACACAGACACAGATATATATATATTTATGTATCTGACATTTGCACAATGTCTGACCTGTCTCCTTGGTGGATCTCCTGTCTGTCCCGGCCGTCGAAAGAGACCATCGCTGTGCCCCTGGCCCCTGGACTTAGTATCACCTGCAATATTCAAGTAACGCTGTTATGGGATATGACAGTGCAGTGGCTAAGAAGATTAACAGAAAGCATTGCGTCTGCAGCATGACACAATGATAGGCACATTGGGCAAAGCAGGATGTCTGCAGTATGACTCAATGACAGGCACACTAGGCAAAGCAGAATGTCTGCAGCATGAATTAATGACAGGCACACTGGGCAAAGCAGAATGTCTGCAGCATGACTCAATGATAAGCACACTGGGCAAAGCAGAATGTCTGCAGAATTATATATGACAGGCACACTGGGCAAAGCAGAATGTCTCCAGCATGACTTAATGAAAGGCACACTGGACAAAGCAGAATGTCTCCAGCATGACTCAATGACAGGCACACTAGACACAGTACATGTTTTTGTTTTTCTACATTACAAACAAAAATGTTTTTTTTTAAACAAATAGCAAAGGTGTCCCGCGTATCAATGTGTCAGATGTAACAGGGCTGAACAACATTCTTAAAGGATATCAACAGAACAAGTGTAAATGGAAAAACTAGCCTTATATCAGAAAAATAATAGGCAACAGAGAGGAAGAGGAAGACAAAGATTCATCTGGATAGCTTAAACAGTTGACCAACAAATAACATAAGAAGTAACACCAGCTTCTTCAAAATGTCAGAGAACAGAGAAGAAGTCATGACCGCTGATGTCTGTTGCAGAAACAGGACCCAGGGTGAGACTGACATAACTGTTTGGAAAGGGGTTGATGTCTGGATGAGTAATAGGGCCACTGCCAGTAGGATGCAGAGGCTGGACCACATGTGCTGGCTCACCAGGACCAAGACACAAGAACTATCTATGCCTCTTCCTGGTCATTCTAGAAATAGGTTCCTAGTTGAAGGCAGCCAGCTTAAATATGATCAATACTGCCTTCAAAGATGGAGTGCACCTTCTTTAGACCTGAAGAACCAACAGTCTGCATACAAGTTAGCCACATCTGTGAAACAGATGTGCATGCAAAAGCAAATCCTGGAACAAGACTGAAGTTCAGTAGTGGGCGAATAACCAGAACTTTCTGCCAGAGTTTACAGCTGGTGAATGCTAAGAAGCAGAAGAGACTGCCTGTGTTTAGGAATATTCAAAGACATGGGTATAGTGAGACCTGCAGGACTGTCTGAACAGGGGGTGCTATATGGTCAGGTGATAGAGATCTGTGTGATGTCTGAGACGGTTGCTGGCTCAGGCCCAGTTACCACAATGCCTGAGTGTTTGCTAGCCAACATTAGTTTTAGAATGTGTTCCAGAGGTATCTTGTATTCAATGATACAAAGACAGAATAACTGTACAATTCATCTTAAGCATTGTATACTGACAGTCCTCTTCTTCTACTGTTTATGCTTCAACAGAGCATAATAACTCAGTCAGCTCACATCAAGTTGTCCTTTCATTCACCATCACCTTATCCCATGTCCTCCACATTTTATTTCCTTTATTCTCTAACTCTTGTGTCCATATTTTTTTTGTTGGCCTTTGTTCCTTTGAAACTGTGAATTCTAGTGCATGGTATTCTAGTTAAATTGTTTACTGATACATTGATACAAACATTATTTTCTAGACTCCCACCATAAGCACCGTGACAACAACAGCACCATGACAACAGTAGCACCATGACAACAGTGGCGCCATGACAACAGTGACAACATGACACAGTAGTCATGACTGATCATCTCCCGGTAATAGACCCACCTCTTAACAAGCAAGTTAAAAAAAGTGGCTGATTAGAGGTATTTTTCTCTGATGTCATAAAGCATCTGCCTGAGAGGCAAGGAATCAACAGACGGCAAACAAAAAAGGAAGATCTACAAAATAAATGTTCACCCATAACTAAAGTTCTGGACAAGAATAAAATCTGGAAGTGGACGAACAACCAGAACTTTCTGCCAAAGTTTACAGTTGGCAAACACTAAGAATAAGAAGAAGTGATGGTAATAGAAGTAGAAGTAAAATTACAATTCCGCCACTTTTTAAAGGAACCTTTTCTGTCTTCTGGGATATTGGATTTTTTGGTGCTAGAACTATATATTTTTTTGACAAATCGGTACTCGGTGGGTGTTGTGGTTAGCATCACGCAGGCCACCTTTAGTTTGCAGGACTGTACCTGTTACCCACTCAAGGCTTGTTCAAACCTGGCAGCCGAGGTTATTTTTTAAAAAGTCTGGCTCCATTTGGATTTGAACCACAACCTTCACATCCACAGATGAGCATCTAGCTACTACACCATGGTGGCTTCCCATTCACTGTTTGAATACCACTTTTAATCTCACTCACACAGACATCATTATTCTTCTTCCACTGCTTCTCTGTATATATCACTTTTCAACTAAGCTCACAGCTACTAGTAACTAAACTAACCAGTTGCCCCAAGTCACCACACAAGATCCACAACTGTGTTTGATATTTAGATACCTTTATTTCAACTCCGGCTGGCACCACAATGGGTCTGAAGGACAATGAGTGGGGACAGATGGGAGTCAGCAGGATACAAGGCACACTGGGGTGTATCATTGAGGCACCTGCTGCCACGGCATAGGCTGTGCTGCCTGTTGGTGTGGAGATGATCAGTCCTGCAGACACAAGGAACAAAGGCAGTTAACTACTGTCATGAAGTCCTGTGTCAGATTTTTCTTTCTAGTTCCTTTAAACTTTCAGAGAAGTAAAGTATATCTAGCTCTATTTACCTTCTTTTTCGGAATTGGTAGATACAGTGGTGGAAGAAAATGATAATAAAATGGGCCTCAGGTTGAATAATGGAAAGACAGAAGTAATGGTGATTTCCAAGAAAAGAATAGTGCCTAAATGCATAATAAAAGTCAAAGGCGTTATTTTAGGACAAGTACAGAAATTTAAGTATCTAGGCACATGGATGCCATCCGACGGAAGAAGTAATAGAGATAAAGAATAGAACAGGACAGGCCAAATTGCATTTTATAACATGAAGAACATTGTGTGCAATAAATTCATGTCACTGAAGGTTAGGAAAAGAACTCTTGCATGCTATATAGAGCAAGTTTCAACACACGGCTGTGAAGCCCGAACAATTAATAAAAAAGCCAAACAATATCTTGAGGCCTCGGAGATGTGGTTTTACAGAAGAATCCTTAGAATTCCTTGGACAGCTAAATAGAGCAGCCCAGACGTTTTGAAAGTGGTAAGTGTTCAAAGAAAACTTGTCACAAACATCAGAAAGAGACAGTCATCCTTTTTTTTAAATCATATTATGAGAAGAGGGAAAATGGAACATGTTGTGACCACTGAAAAGATTTGTGGAAAGAGAGACAGAGGAAGACAGTGTGAGAAGATTCTTGACAGTCTTTTTGTCATGGCATGAAGGGGTGTCAACAAACAAACTGACACATGCAGGTGCGGATCACAAATTGTGGAGAGGCAAGATCGCCCATGCCAGTCGGCAAGGCACTTGATGATAAGAGTAGGGCTATTCAACTGGTGGCCTGCGAACCAAATCTGGCCTGCAGAGGTTGGGGAAGTGGCCTGTGGATCACTACCCATTGTATTGTATTAGTGATTTTTTTTCACAGGGGCTTGGGTCTCTTGCCCGTGACCATCCCCATTTTCAACATTCTGGCCCAAGAGTAAACTCAGATGAACAGCCCTGTTCTGGAGAGTCATCACTGCAGGTTATCGTCCACTTCCACTGATTTCTATGACTGGGTTTCTTTGTTCCAGGTGGTGACTGCAAATGTTTGTAGGTCTGCCTGTATATCTATCTCCGCTGTCTTTTTGGGACTGCCTCATGGGTTACTTTCATCTACCTCTTTTGGACACTGTCTCTAGATTACTTTCATCTACCTCTTTTGGACACAGTCTCTAGGTTATAAGTCATTCTCTCTACAGCAGCTACCATCGCAGTCTATTAAGAAGAGGAGAAGATTATAATGGAAAAAAGTAAACTTCACAATGGAAATGATAAGTAGGAAGATAACAATCAGGAGGACTAGATGAGAAGAAACAGCCCAGGAAAACAGAGTAAAACAGTCAGTGGAAAAGATAAATAGGAGGAGGATATCAGGAGGACAAGATGAGAAGAAACAGCCCAGGAAAACAGAGTAAAACAGTCAGTGGAAAAGATCAATAGGAGGAGGATATCAGGAGGACAAGATGAGAAGAAACAGCCCAGGAAAACAGAGTAAAACAGTCAGTGGAAAAGATCAATAGGAGGAGGATATCAGGAGGACAAGATGAGAAGAAACAGCCCAGGAAAACAGAGTAAAACAGTCAGTGGAAAAGATCAATAAGAGGAGGATATCAGGAGGACAAGATGAGAAGAAACAGCCCAGGAAAACAGAGTAAAACAGTCAGTGGAAAAGATCAATAGGAGGAGGATATCAGGAGGACAAGATGAGAAGAAACAGCCCAGGAAAACAGAGTAAAACAGTCAGTGGAAAAGATCAATAGGAGGAGGATATCAGGAGGATAATATTAGGAGGACAAAATAATTTTCAAAAATGGATTAGGAAAAGGAGGAACAGAAAAGGAGGAGGAAAATGAGAAAACAGTAAGATGGATGACTGAAGAAGCTTCAAATAGGCCACAGTAATAATTGTGCTGTCAGAATTCACAACTAGGCTTATGACAAATGGAAAGAAAATAAGAGTTACCATCTCCTTGTACTGTTGTGACCCTTCTGCCTTCAATATACAGGTCAAGGTTGCTGAGATATGAAGATGGCCCCCTGTCAACAACAACTTCATTCAACACCTGCAGATGAAACAACAACAACTTCATTCAACACCTGCAGATGAAACAACAACAACTTCATTCAACACCTGCAGATGAAACAACAACTTCAATCAACACCTGCAGATGAAACAACAAGGGTCAGAAATATGACAACAGAAGAACAGCCACATTTTTCATAACAGAGTCACAGAGAAACTTGTCCATTTCATCTGCTTTCTGGGTAGAAGTCCAACTAGCAGACAAGGAAAGGAAAATTAAGCAAGAAGGTACCTACACAAACTACATCAACTCAACATGACACACTCAGTAGAGAAGAGAAATTTTGTTCAACAAGTTTCACAGCAAAGGAAGTCCAGTCTGATCTTAACAAGTCATCTTCTTCTAGGCATTCACTGACTGTAGACTCCGGCAAAGAGTTCTTCCACTTCTAGACTTTGACCTTGTTCCAGAACTTGAGTTTTGCTTGCACATCTATTTCACAGATCTGGTTTATTGAAATGATAGTTCCTCGCCTCATAGGCAGATGCACTTCTAGTTCAATTTCGTGACATGCTTGTAGGGGAGAGGAGGGGACAGTGGGATTTTTCCCAAAATGGGATCTCAGAACCCACATGGGGAAAGATCTTAACAAGTGAAACCATCCTTCACCTTAAGCAAGACACTAAACAGATGAGACAGGCTGCCCAGCAGACAATCAGACAGACCAGGCTAGATGTGTATGTTAATCACTGAATGCATGAAAAAGAAGGAATTAAGAAAAATGTGTTGAAAGCTTCTGTATTTTAGCTCAACAACAAGACAATCACACAGCGGACAGATGATAGATTGAATTTTATTTTTGAATTTAAAAAAAAAATCAATCAATAACTGACATATGGGCACTCAGGGCATTCCCGCATGTGCTCTGTGCCATCCCCTAGTCAACAAAGAGTTCCCATACTGCACGTGCCAGCTGAAAGCTGATAACAATTTTGCTTGTTTTTTTCCTGCATGATGAACATTGTCCAGACCCTAAACCTACTCCCAACTGAATCAGCATTTCTGGATAAGGATGCTGTCTGCTCTGTTGGACTGCCCATTTGATCCCAGAAAGTCTTCATCACATCCATTTCATCATAAAGTAGCTCACCGCCCAGAGGCATGAGGTTCTGTTTTTATTCTACAATGCCTATTCAGACATGTGGTAGAGAGACAGACAAACAATTGTATGTATAGACAGACAGAAAAGCACACAGTATGATGGTCAGATATACTGACAATCCAAAATGGTGTTGATCAGACACACAGACAGACATGTAGGCAGACAAATAGATGAACAGACAGATGATGGATTAATAAACAAATGGGTGGTAGTGAACAGACAAAATGAATGATGGATAGATAAACAGGTTGATGGATAGATAAACAGGTTGATGGATAGACAGACAGACAAACTGGCGGATGATGAATGAATAAATAGACATGGAGGGATAAATTCTACCAGTTTATGAGTCTTCAATGACACGTGCTCCCTCTCAATGTTCTTCACATGGGGGATCTCGGTGGCCGATGTGAGGTCATGCTTCACCACCACACACTTCAGCCGGAACCTCAAGAGCAAGGAGGCTGTACCTGCAAGAAAACATCAATACAGCATTACAACATCATCACATTTGAGAAACCTCAACAATAAATAAGCTGAGGTAGAACAGGAGATAGAACAAACACTAAGATAAGGGGCAGGACAAACATTAAGACAGAAGGTAGAACAAACAATGAGACAGAAGTTGAAGAAACATTTAGACATGAGGTCAATCAAACACTGAGAAAGGCATAGAACAATCACTGAGACAGTGGGTAGAACAAATACTGTGACAGGAGGTAGAAAAAATACTGAGACAGGAAGTAAAATAAACACTGAGACAATGGGTAGAACAAATACTGAGACAGGAGGTAGAACAAACAATGAGACGGGGTAGAACAAACACCAAGACTTGAACTAAAACAAACACTGAGACAAGCAGTAGAACAAACATTGAGACATGAAGTAGAACAAACACTGAGGCATAGGGTAGAACAAACACTGAGACAGGAAGTAGAACAAACACTGAAGCATGGGGTAGAACAAATGCTGAAACAGAAGGCTGAACAAAAACAGAGACAGAGGGTAGAACAAACAATGAGACAGGAGGAACAAATGTTGAGAAAAGGGATAGAACAAACATTGAGACTAGGGGTAGAACAAAAGCTGAAACAGAAGGCAGAACAAACTGAGACAAGGGTAAAACAGAACCTGAGATAGGCACATGGAGAAACGTTCATTTGGGATAGCATCTTCTTTGTCTTCTTCACTGGCTGTGACCTACGCTGGAATGTTCTGGTTGTTTACCCACTTCTAGACTTTAGTCTTGTACCAGAACTTGAGTTGTGTGTAAACATCTGTTTTATCGCAGTAGGATTATGGACACACAGAGTAAGTCATTATTGTATGCCTTAGAATGGGGCATAATTGACTTTGCAGGCACATATACACAAAATTTAAGACTGGTGAATCAGCAATGTGCACATGTGGATTGGCACCTGAGACAGCATATCATGTCCTCCAAAACGGAATTACAAAAAAACAGTAAAGTTCATACCACAGACAACATTGCAGATAAAGATAATTTATTCCAAGCAAATACAAAGAATAAGAAAAAGAACATCAATTTTACAGATCTGGTTTATTTTTACGCAGACAAATGTTTATTTTGAAAAGGTCCAACATGTTTTCTAACTAAAATATGAATGTTTATTTAGTATAATCTTAATTTCTGTTATTTACATTTAGATTACAATGTGACTATTCATTTTTTTTTTTTTTAATTTAGTTTACCATCTAAATGTTCATTTTTTTAAATTCATTATTCCAACTAAATATTCATGAGGTTTCCATCACATAACCTGTTACCACCTGTCCATGACAAAACAATGTCAGCCAGTTTTGAAGTCTGAGTGAAGACAGACAACAGACTTAGGACTTCAACTGTCATGATAGGACATGAAAAGGAAGGCCGAATATGTAGGACACCAGTGTAAGACAAAAGACCTTCAAACTAGACTGGACAGAATGCTAAAATGAGGAGGAGAGATGAGATATATTTTTATTAGACTATGCATGTTTGGTGCAAGTCTAGATACTAAACATATGAGCTTGTTTCCTTTATTACAGTTACCATCAGGGGCTAGGACCAGTCAGCACTTATCATAAGCAGAAGGTCCAAGTGTATGAACCTACACTGCGTGGGAGATCGGCAAGCTGGGAAAAGCTATGCAGGGCTTCAAGTCAAGGGCTCTCAGAGGTTCTTTTTATGTGAATCCAAGTTATGTGCATCATTTGTATTCCTAAATTAATCATCATCATAAGAACAGCACTCTAATCTCAGGTGCTGAGGTCTCTAGCTGAACCAACTCACTACCACCATACCATCAGCTAGTCACTGGTTGTTCAACTAGTAAAGTGACAAAAATCATCTAAATGATTGTTAGTATAATAAATCAATACATCCAGTGTTATGCTACTTTGCTGGTTAAATTCCAAGTTTATTTGTTCTTACCTGTTTAACTTAGTTAGTTAGTTAGTTAGTTAGTTAGTTAGTTAGTTGGGTTATCATCATTGCATTCTGGACATGTCTATAGGTGCTCAGATCCTCCCCTCAGAATGAACCCCAACGTCCAATGGCTAATAGTACCAGTTCTATGTTGATTAACAAGTCTTCTGGTGTGCGTCTCGTTTTTTGCTAAGACGATCTTAATTCCAAAGTCTGCCATTCTGGCGAGTGATGTGGATTCACTGCCCCCAAAGTCCTCTATCCTTCCCATTTCTCTGAGGGCATTAATAATATCAGCATGATCCATCGGCTGACCGTGGGTAGTGATAGCGGATCAGCCAACCTATCAGCTCTTTTATTTCCATCGATGCCTGCGTCACCCGGAACAAAAATAAAGGTGACTCTACGCACAGTGAACTTTTGTAATGATTCAAGCCATTGTCTTCGCACTGAACCTGCCTGAACCCTCCGGATCATACTCATTGAATCACTGAGTATACATACGCGGGTTTTGTGTTTCGAGCCAGGCAAATGCTTGCATTACTGCCATCACCTCCATTGTCATGCTGCTGGTTGTCATGGAGAAGGCGCAGTTGGCTTTGACTATTCTGCCTGCTGAGCGGGCTGTGAATGCCCATGCGCATTTTTTGGGGGGGGGGCATATAACGGATCTGTCTGTGTAGATTAGTGCATCTGCTTCATCTGAAGTTTCAATGATGACAGCGTTGACCTCTGCATTAACAGCAACAGGATTCTCTTCTCTACATCGCATGTTGATTGTGGCAATTCAGGAAAATGTACAAATAAACACATGAGGTACGTGTATCCACTCTGTACCAGGAGTGATGTCGGTTAGGCTGCATATTTGCCTAATATCATCTTCTGCCTGACCTAGCCATGACTTTCCCCCTCTTCAGCCTGTGGCCCTTTTCACTAAAAAGCGCCTGATGCAGTGGGTGTTTCTTATCAGCACATATTTAAAAGTATGCCCAAGCCCTCCAGATCCTGATCTTTTGGTTCATAGTTGGAAAGTCAAGTAGATATCTCATTGCTCCACAGGATGTGTCTCTTGTACATCCCAAAATAATGCGCATGGCTTCATTTTGCACCTTTTCATGTTGTTCAATCTGGGTAGCACTGACAGCGAGGATGGCCAGAGCGTATTCAATGGGGGGAAAGGACCAGACCGTAGAATAGAAGTATTAGTAGTCTTTGCTGGATATTGGAAGCAGCCATAATCCTCATTGCAGATAGACCTTTGTGTGCTTTTGTTATCATGCGGTCAACATGTTAAACATCTGTTTAACTAAACTGTTAGATAGAAACACATTTGGTGGGGTCTCTAGAATAATCCTTTAACAGAAGGAGGTCATCAGGAGGGGTCACCTTCCCTGACTAACAATTCTTTAATTAAAGTAATCTAGACATTTAAAACCCCTTTCCTTCTCCTGTGGGTATAGAGTGAAGCTGCTGTGAATTTACATGACAAATATGGCTGGTTTTTTTTTTTTTTTTCAATATCCAGGACTTTGAGATCAATATAGCTCGGATATTAGTCTAATTTATCCTACAGAGGTGAAGTGTTGAGATTAAAACTCCTACTCATCACAAAAGCATCTATCCACTCAGGGACTCCCGACACAAATACAACCCAATGTTTCGACCAAAGTCTTTGTCAAGGGAGTACTAAATACAGCACAAACTGTGTGACTGGAAAATTCTAACAATGAATGTGGTTACCTGAAACAAGGATGACACATACAGGAGTGTGCCATCTCCTCCGAGGCAGATGATGAAATCTATCTTGTCAGTCAGGTCATCAACACCTGGACACAAACAACAGAACACAGTCAGCACAGACAACACATTTGGCTGTGTGTGGGACACACTTCTTGTTTCATAACACCTAGGTTGTGTGTGGGACACACTTCTTGTTTCATAAAACCTAGGTTGTGTTTAGAACACACTTCTTGTTTCATAACACCTTGGTTGTGTGTGGGACATACTTCTTGTTTCATAACATCTAGGTTGTGTGTGGAAACACCTTGGTTGTGTGTGGAACACACTTCTTGTTTCATAACACCTTGGTTGTGTGTAGGACACACTTCTTCTTGGTTCATAACTCCTTGGTTGTGTGTAGGACACACTTCTTCTTGTTTCATAACACCTTGGTTGTGTGTAGGACACACTTCTTCTTGTTTCATAACACCTTGGTTGTGTGTAGGACACACTTCTTCTTGTTTCATAACATCTAGGTTGTGTGTGGAAACACCTTGGTTGTGTGTGAAACACACTTCTTGTTTCATAACACCTTAGTTGTGTGTAGGACACACTTCTTCTTGTTTCATAACACCTTGGTTGTGTGTAGGAAACACTTCTTCTTGTTTCATAACACCTTGGTTGTGTGTAGGACACACTTCTTCTTGTTTCATAACACCTTGGTTGTGTGTGGAACACACTTCTTCTTATTTAACAGAACCTTGATTATGTGTAGGACACACTTCTTCTTGTTTCAAAACACCTAGGTTATGTGTGGAACACACTTCTTCTTGTTTCATAAAACCTTGATTATGTGTAGGATACACTTCTTCTTGTTTCAAAACACCTAGGTTATGTGTAGAACACACCACTTCTTATTTCACGACACTCTGGCTTTGCTTGTGTGCGGAACATACTTCTTGTTTCACAACACCTTGGTTGTGTGTGGGACACACTTCTTCTTGTTTCATAACACTTAGGTTGTGAGTGGGACATATCTCTGTCTCACATCACCAGGGTTGTGTGCGGGACATATTTCTGTTTGTCTCACATCACCAGGGTTGTGTGCGGGACATATTTCTGTTTGTATCACATCAACATATTCTAAACATAAATATCTAGTTAAAATAAAATGTTAATTCCAAATCAACATTTATATTGTCAGGTTTAAAAAAATCAATATATATATTTACTCAACACAAACAAATGTTCAACACAAACATTACTAAGAAGACTCTATCTCAAAAATGAAGCATCATTTTTACCTTCTTTAAAAGAAATAAGCCTGTCCTGAATCCTCTGAAACTCCTCATCCTCCAGCAGAATACGCTCCTCCAAGACCATATGCTCCACATACACCACCATGTTCTTCGTCTAGTCACACCAGAGCAGATCAGAGAATTAGCACACTTATAATGACAGTTCAGCAATTTAGTACAGACAAGCCAAAAGTAGTGCATGTACACAGAGAGGGACAAGCCAGAGAAGAAAAGATATGTACAGAGACAGAGACAGGCAGCAAAGTAATATATGAACAGAGAAAAAGACAGGCAGAGAAATATGAAATGCACAGGTACCGCGACAGGCAGAGAAGTAATATATGGTAAGAGACAGAGACAGGCATAGAAATATGAAATGGACAGGGACCGCGACAGGCAGAGAAGTAATATATGGACAGAGGCAGAGAAAGGGCAGGGAAATAATATATGTACAAAGACAGAGCAGAGAAGTAATGTTTAGTGATATAGTTGCTCTCTGGCCCAATCTGGACTTATCTTGACTCTATACCCTTCTCCAATCTCTGCCAGTGGATTATGTGCATGACCAGAGATCGCTGAAGAAGAAGAATTTCCGTGGTGATCTTGCATCTGGATCACGGCACCAAAAATGTTCACAGTCGCTAGATATTCAAACCATACTCAATTCTCTGCAGACATTTCTTGCGTTGCAAGTCCTCGCTCCCTCAGTAAACAATCAAAGTTAATCTCAGTCGCTTCATTCAAGCAACCTGCCTCTCACACGGTCAAACACCAACTGGTTCTATCTCCTCTCTCACCTTTAAACCTTAGTTCCCATCACACTGGTTTCTCTTGCAATCGTTCACACCAACCCAGGACATTCTAAATGCACATTTTCCATGCGCCCCTCATTTCCCATGTCTTGTGACCTTACACTCACCATACTAGGAAACACTTGGGATTTCCTATCATTACAGCAAAGAAGTAATACATGGACAGAAACAGAGACGAGACAGTGATAGACAGGGAAGTAATATACTACAGAGACAGCAGCAGGCAGAGAAGTAATACATGATCAGAGACAGTGACAGACAGGGAAGTAATATATGGACAGAGACAGTGACAGGCAGAGAAGTAATATATGTACAGAGACAGCGACAGGCAGAGAAGTAATACATGATCAGAGACAGCGACAGACAGAGAAGTAATACATGGACAGAGACAGCGACAGGCAGAGAAGTAATATATGGACAGAGACAGAGACAGGGCAGAGAAGTAATATATGTACAGAGACAGCGGCAGGCCGAGAAGTAATACATGGACAGAGACACAGACAAGGCAGAGAGGTAATATATGTACAGAGACAGGGCAGAGAAGTAATATATGGTCAGAGACAGCGACAGGCCGAGAAGTAATTCATAAACAGAGACAGGGCAGAGAAGTAATATACGGTCAGAGACAGCGACAGGCAGAGAAGTAATTTATAAACAGAGACAGGGACAAGTCAGAAAACTAATTAATGAACAGAGACAGCGACAAGTCAGAGAAGTAATCCAAGGACAGAGGCAAGGCAGAGATGTAATAAATATACACAGACAGGGACGGCAGGATCACATACCTCCAGCAGCCATACGACCAAGTCTCTGAAGGGGATGAGCACAGACTCATCCAGGTGCTTGCGGATGATCAACACAGTGAGGGGCGGCTTGGTCCAATTGAGTTTCTGGTTGCTGGGATCTGGGATAGTTCTGCAGAAGACAGGTCATGTGTGTGGTCACATTATAATGTCTGTTCTGTAAGTGACACGTCACTATGTGGTCACACTGTAATATCTGTTCTGTAAGTGACAGGCACTGTGTGGTCACATTGTAAAGTCTGTTCTGTAAGTGACAGGCACTGTGTGGTAACACTGTTATGTCTGTTCTGTAAGTGACACGTCACTATATGGTCATACTGTAATGTTTGTTCTGTAGATGACAGGCACTGTGTGGTCACATTGTAATGTCTGTTCTGTAGATGACAGGCACTGTGTGGTCACAATGTAATGCCTGTTCTGTAGATGACAGGCACTGTATGGTCAAACTGTAATTTCTGTTCTGTAGATGACAGGCACTAAGTGGTCACACTGTAATATCTGTTGTTCTGTAGATGACATGTCACTGTTAGTCACACTGTAATGTCTGTTGTTCTGTAGATGACATGTCACTGTTGGTCACACTGTAATGTCTGTTGTTCTGTAGATGACACGTCACTGTGTGGTCACACTGTAATGTCTGTTCTGTAGATGACAGGCACTGTATGGTCACACTGTAATGTCTGTTGTTCTGTAGATGACACGTCACTGTATGGTCGCTTTGTAATGCCTGTTCTGTAGATGACAGGCACTGTATGGTCAAACTGTAATTTCTGTTCTGTAGATGACAGGCACTATGTGGTCACACTGTAATGTCTGTTTTTCTGTAGATGACACGTCACTGTTGGTCCCACTGTAATGTCTGTTTTTCTGTAGATGACACGTCACTGTTGGTCCCACTGTAATGTCTGTTGTTCTGTAGATGACACGTCACTGTGTGGTCACACTGTAATGTCTGTTCTGTAGATGACAGGCACAGTATGGTCACACTGTAATGTCTGTTCTGTAGGTGACAGGCACAGTATGGTCACACTGTAATGTCTGTTCTGTAGATGACAGGCACAGTATGGTCACACTGTAATGTCTGTACTGTAGATGACAGGCACAGTATGGTCACACTGTAATGTCCGTTCTGTAGGTGACAGGCACTATGTGGTCACACTGTAATGTCTGTTCTGTAGGTGACAGGCACTATGTGGTCACACTGTAATGTCTGTTCTGTAGATGACAGGCACAGTATGGTCACACTGTAATGTCTGTTCTGTAGATGACAGGCACAGTATGGTCACACTGTAATGTCTGTTCTGTAGATGACAGGCACAGTATGGTCACACTGTAATGTCTGTTCTGTAGATGACAGGCACAGTATGGTCACACTGTAATGTCTGTTCTGTAGGTGACAGGCACTATGTGGTCACACTGTAATGTCTGTTCTGTAGGTGACAGGCACTATGTGGTCACACTGTAATGTCTGTTCTGTAGATGACAGGCACTATGTGGTCACACTGTAATGTCTGTTCTGTAGATGACAGGCACAGTATGGTCACACTGTAATGTCTGTTCTGTAGATGACAGGCACAGTATGGTCACACTGTAATGTCTGTTCTGTAGATGACAGGCACTATGTGGTCACACTGTAATGTCTGTTCTGTAGGTGACAGGCACTATGTGGTCACACTGTAATGTCTGTTCTGTAGGTGACAGGCACTATGTGGTCACACTGTAATGTCTGTTCTGTAGATGACAGGCACAGTATGGTCACACTGTAATGTCTGTTCTGTAGATGACAGGCACAGTATGGTCACACTGTAATGTCTGTTCTGTAGATGACAGGCACAGTATGGTCACACTGTAATGTCTGTTCTGTAGATGACAGGCACAGTATGGTCACACTGTAATGTCTGTTCTGTAGGTGACAGGCACTATGTGGTCACACTGTAATGTCTGTTCTGTAGGTGACAGGCACTATGTGGTCACACTGTAATGTCTGTTCTGTAGATGACAGGCACAGTATGGTCACACTGTAATGTCTGTTCTGTAGGTGACAGGCACTATGTGGTCACACTGTAATGTCTGTTCTGTAGATGACAGGCACAGTATGGTCACACTGTAATGTCTGTTCTGTAGATGACAGGCACAGTATGGTCACACTGTAATGTCTGTTCTGTAGATGACAGGCACTATGTGGTCAGTCTCTGGTCAAATCTGGATTTGGTATGTAGAAGATATTGCCTGTGAGCTTGTGAGCAATGCTATGTGTGTGCATGTTCATATTCTTCATATATACAATAGGTGTGTGTGTGTGTGTGTGTGTGCGTGCGTGAGGCCTACAGAAAGCCCAGTAAGGTCCCAGTGAGTCTTGCTGTGGTGCAGGTTTAGGCAAACAGTATACAGGTCAGAGAATATTTGAAGCAGACCTTCTAGGGAGACCAGATTAATAAACTAGGGACACGTTACATGAAGGTACAGCAGACAAGAATGGAACCTAGTCACCCTACCACATTATGCAGTCACCTAGTATAAAATAGGCAGCCACATGGCAGTATCTGTTGTTGGTTAACCACAAGTCAGTTAAAGCGAAAGGTTACAGTCGAACATAAACTTAAGAATCGTTTCAAACAATAGGGAATTTCTCCCGTTTCTATGCAGGATTTGTCTGAAGACTAGTTCCCAGTGTTCGCTACAATCTCATTTAAGAACATCATCCAGGGAAGAGGGTGAGTGGTGGGGACTGGTAGGGGGGGGGGGGGGGGGGGTGGATTCGGATATAATCATCACAGAATGTTTAATATTGTCTAGGGTGGGGTTGGTAGAAAAAGATCAAATGAGTAAATAAAGTCATCTCAGAACAATAAAATTTCTGCAGAAAACACAAAACCCCCCCCCCCCCCCCCCCGACCTGACGCCCAACAACCCAAAATGGCACTGCCTTGGCCTGGTCAAGGTTTAAGATGTAAGGGCCTGTTGGTAAAGACACTGGAGGGTATGACCCAGGAAAGATATTAGAGAGCAACAAAAAGGCAACCAGCATGCATGGATATTAGGTCAGTTATGTTGAGCTGGAGAGATGGGTTTGGACGATACTGAATGCATGTTCAGACTAGCCTGATGACCAATGAGCAAAGCACACATCATTGACAGGCACAGATACGTACACACGACTTCTCCTGTACGCTGTGCTAGTCTTCACCCAGACGTCCTGGTCTGAGCCAGCACTCGGCACGTTCCCTCTGTATCTCTTTGTCTTCTTCAGCTGTTTCTGGTGATGCCCACATTCATACTCTTCCTCGCCATCTGACATGGACAAGTAGTTGCTCTGTTTAAATGTGACCATTTTTGCGGGCCTGGGTGTTCCAGGGGCGTTTCCCCTGATCTGATTCAAGCTTCTGAACTCGCCTGGTCCATTTCCGCAAGCAGAAGAATTTAAATAAGAGCAAGATTCATTTGCGGTTGTGTCATACCCTGAGTGGGTGTCCTGTTGTGAGCTGTCTGGTGCATTTACACAATAACAAGGAGTGGAATGAGCAAAGTGTTCATGTGGAGTTCTGTCAAGCTCTGGCTCAGTGTCCTGCTGAGGCCATGCCATGGAAGAGACTGTTGGTGACAAGAACGGAAGTGATGAAAAACGAAGGCCATCTTTACATTTCTCCTGAACAAGGTGTTCCTTAGTAGAAGGTGGAGCAGATGAACAGCATTCACAGATGTGACAACCTGGTGCTGAGGAACTACATCTGGAAATAACAGTTTCTGAAGAGTCCAGATGTGGGACTACACCCATTACCGCGTCATCTTCACCTATTCCAACACTGTCTACACCCATATCCACATTGTCTACATCCATTCCTACACTATCTACATCTATTCCTGTCAGACACTCAGAAATAGAACAACTGTTGCTGTCACTTGTCTTCTGTTGTGAACAAGGGTGTGTATAACAACACTTGTCGCCATCTTGTGAGACGTGCGAGATTATTTCCCCTAGTTGGCTATAGCAATCACTAGCTTCCACCCAATGTGTTGTGAATGGAGGCATCTCATGTTCTATAGTTCTCAACTCTGCTCTGCTGCCATCAAATTCCTGATGTCTACCACTTTGCTGGACCAATCCACAATGAATCTTAAATGGTTCCCCTTCCTCTCTGAGCCCGTCTTCAGATGAAATATTTCTAACTGTTGATAGGCTACCATTATATCCAAACAGTGACCCGTCGTTACTGGATTCAGGCGGCAATAGTGAAGAAGAACTGCCTCCATCGAAAACCTGATCATTAAACACTGATTCTATTTTCATGAACTCAGCTAACCCACTACTCACTGACGGTGCTTCACTTGTGACAGAGGAACATGGTGAAGTGCCTGTTGATGTGAAGGATTGTGGAGTACTGATCTCAGGAAGAGAGGCAGAGTCTTTCACTTCCACACTGCAACCAGACAGCATAGGGGCCTCATAGCAGACAGTGACAGTTCTGGAGTCCGTAACATTGATGCAGCATGAGCTTTGAAAAACGCCATTTGAAGCAATGATCTGCATGCAGTTTCCGTTGCTGCAAACACTGGTGCTTGCCAGAGAATTCGTGTCAGCAGCATTACTGCAACACCTGCTGTTATTGTTGATGACGTCTGGCAAATCTTCTGGATAACTGGTTGTAAACACAGCACTGCTGCTGGAAGAAGACATGGGAGTCAGGGGAGAAGTCAGCATGTCTTTATTAATTTTGCTGACAGAGGCCAAGCTACGGCACTTGGGAAACGTCCAACGGTGCTCAGTCTGCCACAATAGATACCTGTGTGCGGCTACCAACGACTGCCTCACTGGCTGACCGGACACTTATCTGCCACGACCATACATTCAACCTGTAGCATTACCTAAAGTCTGTATTCTGTGTTCATTTAGTGACTGTATGATCATCTCAGCGCAGGTTCTATAACTTCAGGTAGTCTGCTCTTGGTGAAGAGTTGTCCAATCTAGCGCCAGTCCACCTGCCCACTGACTACCATGGATTCCTGTCAGCTAAGCTGAAGTAACTCTACTCTCTCACAGACAGGTTATTAACTACACCAAAGATTGTCTTGGACTGAATCTATACGTACCACCAAAATTAAACAGTAAACTGT